CTGAAATTCGATAAAAAATATTCAAGTTCTAATGCAATCACTAAGTGTCAAATAATTTTCAACCATGTTAAAAAATTTAATTTCGAAAAATTAGGTCTTATTGCTGGTTATTATCAATTCTTTGAACAATCGGTATTTACATTAATCAGAAATAACGATGCTATCAAACATGTCCTTTCTTCAATCTCTAATTTTCAAATCACCTGCAATGTTCCTACAGATTTAGATCAATAAAAAATCGTGTTTTATAAACAATAGAAAAATGACTGTTTCTACTGTTTTATAAACAGTAGAAAATGAATAATTGTTTTAGTGTCCTACGTATCTTTTCCAACGAAAAAGATAATAATTCAATTTTTATCAGATAATAATTTAAACGTCGACCAATTGAATTAGATGGAGCAATCCTGGAGAGTAAACCATTTTCTTAGCTTACCTTTATCTTCAACGCGGATCAGGTATACGAGAAATGTGTATATAATTAACTTTCATACGCTCCTCGAGGTGAAATTGTTTTCATTTCATTTATTTTATTTTCATATTTCTTTTCATTTTCATTCATTAAATTATTTCATTATTTTTCAGGTCGTATGAAAATTAAAAAATAATATACTAGGAAACGATGTACCATTCAGAAGATGCTCTGTCTAATCAATTTGGTCAAGATTTGAATGGAAAGTTTCTTTATAGACACGTGAAAAGATCAATTACTCTTCAGAAATATTCTCAAAATTCATTTCAACTTTCCATTAGAGCTCCGCCAATATATTATACATATATACACGTGTTTATCAAACAAATATTGAAGTTACAATTTTCATGGAACCTGTGAGAAAAACAGTTCTTAGGAAAATATTCCATATCTTTCTCATCAATGTGCATCCACATTGATGGAGTACAAATAATTCTTAAAGTATCTAGTCAAAAACACATTTTTGAAAATATTCTCTGTCACAGTGGTGCAGAATGGTAGCTTTTGTTTCAATTGTTCTCTATTTTGTCAAATTTTTAATACAACATTTAAACAAATGACATATTAAAGGAAAAATGGCTTTATCTGAAAAATTTCCTTATTGAAATAAATTCCTCATTCGGAAGCACTGATGACGTGACGCTTTAGTACACAAAATTACTATTCTACATCCTCTAGAGACATCACAAAAAAAATGTGTCTTTAAGACCGAACTTCGAATGCCATTTGTACTTCAACAACGTGGCCGACAACTGATGAAACAAATATGCGTAGAATATTTATCTGAACACTATTTTGTACAGGAGTTTCATAAAAATCGGTTTGCACAACGATCTTCTACCTAATCATCCTTTTCAGGAACAGTCAACGAGTTCATAGACCGGTCGCAATTTAGAACCGAGCACTTGCTGATCTGTCCGCTCTGCAGTTTTCGCAAGAAGTTCCTGGCCAGTTCGGTGACTTGCGGAGGTGCGGACTCGGACGCTGGCAGGGGTCCTGGATGCTGTTTCCTGCGTCTGAGCAGACTGGACCGTTGAGTGAAGTCATCCTTGCAAATGTCACACACGTCAACACACGTGTTGATAATAGTTGCTGGTGCAGTAGAAGTCTCTGCGACAGAGTACACAGTTGTAAACCTTGGCAGGGCCATGTTCGACGCGTTTGTGCCAGAGCAGCTCCTTGGATCCGCGACACTCGTCGCCGCACTCTCCACAGGTGAAGTTCGTCTCGTGGCGCATCAGATGCTTGTCCAGACTGTCTTGGCGCACAAGTGACACTGATATTTAATTTGTCTGGCTTGCTTCTCGTGCTTCCACTCATGGCCCTTCACGTCTTTCACCTTTTTACCGCAGAACCGACAGACCTGTAAAGTCGAGTTGTGGCACCTTTTGATGTGCTGGATCAGGTCGTTCTTGATGATGAAAACGAGCCTGGTGTCATGCACTGTGTGAACGAGCAGGATGTATCTCTTCAGGCTGGGCTGCCTCTTGTACTTCACTTGGCAAATGCTACACTCGAAGAAATAATCAGGCCGATGTATCACCTTGTGTTGCTCCAGTTCCATCCGCGAATAACAAACAGGTCTTGCAGATGTCGCACTTGTACATCTTGTTGGGATTGCGATGCAGGTTGCTCACGTGCACCTCCAACCTCGTCACGTCCTTGAATTGCTTCTCGCAGAAGGGACAAGTGGTGCGGACTGTGTGTAGAACTCCTCGCTAGCCCTTGAAGCGTTATTAATCGCAAGGTTCTCCTCCTCAGTTCTCTTAATACCTTTGCTATTTTGCAGGATACCGGAATCTTTGGGCTTCTTAGACTCTGTATATTATACCGGTGCATTGTGTACAGCCTGTGTCTGTCCCTGTTCAAGATGAACCGGTGAGCTTTGCTTCAGAGATACTGTTTCCCAGCTTATCGATGGACTCGTTGACAAGCCAGGCATTGGTGACTGCTGTTGGAAGTCTACTTTTTGTTGCGATGCAATTGGTACACACATGTCTGAAACAAGGATAAGGCATGTCAGTGAAGTATTACTTCCTTTGATTCGGTGATCCGAATATCGTGTCTCTATAAAGAAGAATTTGTTGGTTTTAGAGTTCGTTCAAAAACAGGACAACACAAGATATTCCTGCGGAACCGTTTATAAACATCATGGACGTAGTTTGGAACTATGATTTAACATAAGTCTTGGAATATACTGAAATCGTAACTTACTTTAGAACGCCCCCCCCCCCCTCCACTCTCAGCCTGTAAATGAAATTATACAAAGTGAAATCTTTCGTTTTCGAGATACGAGAGACACGCACATTCTTCTTGTATAGTACATTATTTAATGTAGTTCAACAATGATCTCGCGAGAATTACAGCTGAATACTTAACAATAGAAATATCAATACATATGATACATGAGAACTAATGAATGTTAATTTACGAACCAAAAATCGATATTTCCATTAATTGAAGAGCCCAAAAAACATTTGGAAGTAAATCGAAGTTATGATCTTTATACGATAATAAATCCGGAAGTCTTGTACTCTCCTTTTTTATAACCGACACGCACGCATTCGCCATGCAAACTGCAATTTGAAGAAGAATCTCTTCCGTTCTCTTCACCTTCTTTTATAAATTCTTTGCTCTTCATAATTTTGAAATAGATAAAAAATTATTATTATTATTATTATTATTATTATCAATTTAAGTATCGATAACAGAACAGCGAAATGATAAAAGATAAAATATCGTATTAGCTGAAGAAAAAATTTACACAACTATTCTAACAGCCTAGTATGTATAATCGTAGCACAACAGACAGTTATCCTTGGCGGACACTTAAACCTATGCGAATGGTTTACTGTATTATCGTAAAAAAAAATTCCGATTCTTGGATAACGAACTCAAGCCAATACATTCATTCGTCTAAATCGATTTTCGAAATGATCAAACAGCTCGAATATCTCTCTCACTATGTACACACACAGTTTGTTCTCGAGCATCACCCTTTTGCAGATCAAATTCGCCGCAAATGACATTCTCATGGAAAATTACTCTTTCGTATAAGATATAGGATTAACAAGTACATATCTCGGTCGTTCTAGACCTATTTAATGAAAAATATAACTCTTTCGATTTTACTTAATTGTACAGAAACAGTCGCAGTGTGCTATACACAGGTACAGTTTTGCTTTACATAACAAAAACTATATATAAAAAAAAAAGAAAAACATATGCACAAAGAAATTTGGTCTACAAAAGAATCGATATTATATACAAACGAGTGAACATGGATCGCGTATTTTGCGACTTATTACGTATTACTTATTCTTAAAATACAGCTTATCATTGTAACACATTTTCTCTTCTAAACACAGATCCCATAAAGAGAGAGAGAGAGGACTCAACGACGCATTGAACATCTAACGAGTATTCCCAAACGACACGTGCACTCTCACTAATTGTTCTGTAAAATTCTTTGAACCATCTCGGCGATTATGGAAGCCGAACGACCGTGTCGCGGCGTCGGATGGGTCTTCCTGTGGTTGATGAAGCAGGTCCTCTTCTCGAAGTCCGTGTTGCAGACGTCGCAATGATAAGGTCCCATGCCGGCATGCGTGAGCACGTGCCGATAGAAGCTGTTTCTATATTTGTAACTCTTCTCGCAGATGGTGCAGCACATGGCGGGCTTGTGTTTCGCGTACTTGTGCAGCGCCAGACTGCAGGCCTTGGAGAACACGCGCTTGCACTTGTCGCATTCGAAGACCTTCTTCTTGTGCGTCCGCAGATGGTTCTCGAATTCGTTGCGGAACCGGAACTTATTGGCGCAAAGTTGGCAAGAGAACTTGTACACGCGGACAGGATTCTTCATGTGACTCTTGTCGATGTGAAGGGACATGTCGCTCTTCAGCTTGAAACGTTTGCCGCAGTGATCGCAGACGAACTTCGGCTCTATGGTGCTGTGCACGCGGATCTGATGCTGCCTGAGCCCGAACATCCGCTTGAACCTCTGCTGGCAGAACGGACAGCCAACGGGCGTCTTGGTCTTGTGCGTCTTCGTGTGCTCCTTGTACGCTCTCTTCGACATGAAGGCGTCGTGACAGTGGAGGCAACGGTACGGCTTCTCGTGAACCCTGCGCACGTGCGTGTCCAACGATTGCTGCGTGTCGTAGACGATCTGGCAGATCCGACACATGTTCCGGACGTCCAGCATCACGTCTTCCTGGTTCGCCGGCCTCTTGGTCCTGTTCTCGCCGGCCTTACCCTGTTGTTTGCTCCTGATCTTGCGCGACGAATTCCGCATCAGTGTCGGCTCCGGTCTGATCGGCACGAAAACCTGCCTGACCTCGTAGCACTCGCTACCGTACACGTCCTTGCACGGGATCAGCACGCTTTTGATTATGTTCAAGCCCGTCTCGTCTTTGCTCTCGACAGGCACCAGCTTGTGCTTGATCTTTTTCGTCACCGGGTCCCTCACCGGCACCAAAACCGACTTCAGCTGTACGTCCAGATTTTCTACCGCGCTGACCACGTCGGCGGCTCCGTTCAACAACGGATCCTTGACGTCTTCGTTCGGCGACGATCGCTCCTCTTTGGCTACGCACGACGACGGCATCGAACCGTATTTCGTTTCACCTAGATACAAATTAGCATTAACGTCGGCTCCCATCGTTCCCGCCTTCGCTTCGTTACCATCGATCTGAACGCATTTTCGGTACCTCGGGAATCGTCTTTATCTGAATCTGGGCTTTTACATCGACCGTCCGCATCCTGATCCATGTCTGGAACCCCGGAACATACTATAAAAAGTGGTTGAGCTGGGCTCTCAGTATCGTCCGCGCTCGCTGACATCCTGAAACACCCATTCATTTAGTCAGTCGCAAGAAAGGATTCACACGCCAGGTTAAACGAATAGCAAAACAATGATCTCGGTAGGTTCGTCGGCGTTAACACACCCTTAGATTTTTCATTGATATCTTGTTCGTCTGTTTACAGTGACCTGACTGACCGACGCAGCTAACACAGTTAGAGAGAGAAGAAGGCAAAGTGTTTTGCGGCGAAAGTCAAGAGAGAGAGACTTGGAAAAAGTCGTCGAATTCCATAGAAAAGGTATCGAGTCGTTTGTGAAGATTGTACCGAAGTAGGAGAGCTTTGTCCAGATGTTAATATAAATGCACAGTCAAACGTTACTTACATCGATGCACAGCTTCGGGATTGGTCAATGGATCGGTTCAAAGGATTTTTTACATTGTTTTACTAATCGACTTGGAAACTCGTGAAGCTCGATCTAACTAGCCTTCAAACACATTTTCACGGTTTCTTCTGTACAGCTCGTTCGACATTTATTGTACATACGTGTGAAGTGTAATTGTTTATTTAATTACATGGCGGTCTATACATTGGCGTTCAATTTGTGTACGTATCTTCGACGGTCGAATGGGAAAAAGCGGTGTGCAGTAATATGTCTCCCTTACTGACGCGAAGATTGTTCCGGAAAATGGACGATTTGGGAAGAGAGGGGATACGATTGTCCGAGCCTTGTGACTCGCTTTTTTATGCTTATCGATTGTCAACAACTATAAAAACGAGCTGCAAGGCTCGAATAATCGTATCTCCTCTTCCAAAATTGTCCATTTTTCTGTGCAATTTCGGCGTCAATTAGGGAGACATTGCTGTACTGTAATGTCTCTCTAACTGACGCTCAGATTGTGCAGAAAATTGGACAATTCTTATAGTTGTTCTTGTGGTTGTTAACGGACGTTCTTATAGTTGTTAATTAATTCGTAACTATAAAAACGAACCCATCTTCCGAAATTGTCCATTTCTGTGCACAATCTTCGCGTCAGTTAGGGAGACATACCTCGTTGCGTCACTTACAGAGATCAGAGTTTCGACGCGCCTCCGTTTTCATTTCACGGCAAATAAAATAGAAAAGAATCCGGCGAAATATAAACAAAGCGCACGATGTGTACCGAATTATAAACAATATCTATAAACAGAGATACCTCGCAACGAGACTTTGATCATTCTTACACACGTAATTCAATGGAAGAAACGGACAGATCTCGCTATAAGAATCACATACAAAACACGCTTTGGCCCAAGCCTACATTCGAATTACACGTTAAACGCTATAAAACACTCGACAGTTCTCTTTCATATAACATGCTTGTCTATGATGTAACACAGTGTTCTTCAACCCAGTTTCTGTCCAACAGGTCAACNGCTCGAATAATCGTATCTCCTCTTCCAAAATTGTCCATTTTTCTGTGCAATTTCGGCGTCAATTAGGGAGACATTGCTGTACTGTAATGTCTCTCTAACTGACGCTCAGATTGTGCAGAAAATTGGACAATTCTTATAGTTGTTCTTGTGGTTGTTAACGGACGTTCTTATAGTTGTTAATTAATTCGTAACTATAAAAACGAACCCATCTTCCGAAATTGTCCATTTCTGTGCACAATCTTCGCGTCAGTTAGGGAGACATACCTCGTTGCGTCACTTACAGAGATCAGAGTTTCGACGCGCCTCCGTTTTCATTTCACGGCAAATAAAATAGAAAAGAATCCGGCGAAATATAAACAAAGCGCACGATGTGTACCGAATTATAAACAATATCTATAAACAGAGATACCTCGCAACGAGACTTTGATCATTCTTACACACGTAATTCAATGGAAGAAACGGACAGATCTCGCTATAAGAATCACATACAAAACACGCTTTGGCCCAAGCCTACATTCGAATTACACGTTAAACGCTATAAAACACTCGACAGTTCTCTTTCATATAACATGCTTGTCTATGATGTAACACAGTGTTCTTCAACCCAGTTTCTGTCCAACAGGTCAACTCACTCCTTCTCCACGTCTACGTTATTCTTACGTCTGCTGAGCAGCAGAGGAGGCGGCGGGGGATGATCACCGGGGTGTTTCTTGCGGTGCGCCATCATGCTGCTCCTCTGAGTAAAACTATGACCGCAGAGATCGCAGACGTACGGCCTCTCGCCGGTGTGAGTGATCTTGTGGATTCTGAGGGAGACCGACCTGTGGAATGCCTTCTGGCAAATCTTGCACTGATACGGCCGTTCGCCGGTGTGCTTCCTCATGTGCAGCAGCAGGGAATAATTCGTAGCGAACTCCTTGCCGCACTCGGCGCAAAGGAAACTCTGCTCGTTGCAACGATGATTCGCGAGCCCTTCCTCGGAGGTGAAGCAACGTTTGCAGGTGCGGCACTTGTAATCCCTGGTCTTCTTCTTCTTGATCCCGTGAGCGATTCGCTTGTGCGCCACCAGGTACAATTTCTGAGGGTAGCGGTTCCCGCACAGCTGACAGACGTACTTCGTCGCCGTCGCCGCGACGTTCGCCTTCGGCTCCTCCGAGTCGCTGGCGACGCCCTCCTTCGCGCGGTCGCGGATGCACACGGGATCCACGTTGCTGTGCACGCGGATCTGATGAGCCCTCATCCCGGATATCCGTTTGTACTTCAGGTGGCAGAACGGGCACTTCATGTAGGTGTCCTTCTCGTGGATCTTTGCGTGCTTCTCGAGGTCCTCCTGCTTCGCGTAACTGTAATGACACTTCTTGCAGCGGAACGGCTGCTTGTGCTCCCGCCGCACGTGCTTGTCCATCTGCTGCTCGCTTTTGAAGCTCTTCTGGCAGATCGGACAGGTGGTCCGCAGGTTCGCCAGGATCAAGTCGACCTCCTCCTTCGGCTCAACGGTCTCCGCTGTCTCAGGTACCTCGAGTTTCTCTGTCACATTGCTCTCCTCTTTCTTCTTGCCGGTTCCATCCTCCGACTGTTTAACGGAACTAATTTCTTCTTTGTTCGTTTTAGACCGTTTGGACTTCGGCTCCTTGGCGGGCGCCGCCGTCTTGGCTCGCCTTTTCGGCAAATTCGGCTCCGGCGCGATGGGGACCACCACTTTCTTGATATCGTAAGCCAACGTTCCGTCCTTCTCCCAGATCGGTATCAGGATGCTCTTGATTATCTTCATGCCCGACTCGTGCAGGACCTCCGTCGGCACCAACACGTTCTGGATGTTCTTCGTTCGCGGATCCCTGACCGGCACTAGAAACGTCGGCACTGGATTCTTGCTTGGATCGGTCTTCGCGGACTCGTCGGTGACCTTGGCCGGCGCGAAATCGCTGACAGTCCGGTTCGAGAGCGAACGATCGCTCGGGTCGTCCGGGTAAAAGTCGTCGTCGCTCAGAATACATTCCTCTTCCTTGATGTCGGAGATCGGCGGCGTCTTCGCCGTGATCGGGTTCTGATCTTGGTCCAGAAGAGGCGGCGGCCCGCTACATTCTACAAAAAGCGGTTGCGCTGGGTACTGTACGACGGTTTCCGCGGTCGTCGACATCCTGAAACACCCATTCATTTAGTCAGTCGCAAGAAAGGATCCGTGCTGTTCAAGAAAAGATTAATGAACCGGCGCTAAATTGACAAGATCGATGGGCGGAACCGCTCTCGCGTTGTTAGACGCTTTTATTTTACTCTTTCGAAGGTGGTTGATGATTATTTACACGGCAGAGAGGAACCTGATGAGCAAGGAGCAAGAATTTAGCACGATCTCCGCATTGGGCGCTGCTTCTAGATGAATCTGTTTTACGTTCACTTGTAACGAAGTCGTGAATCTTAGTAGACTCACTCGAATTACAAGCTTATCGTTCGAAAGTGCCTGTGGAAGTGTGGCGAATTTTGTATAAACAGTTTATTCGGTTTGATTTTGTACAGGAATATTTTCTGTTAGGAATACTTGATAGTCGATGGTAAAATATAAGTTGTTGTTATCGTTGATAATACCTCTGGCACAATGTAACGCTGTAATCTTACACGATTAGGTCATTCGATTTTATTAGAACGAAATGAATTTCCTTGATTGTCGAGAAAAGTATAAAGTAGGAGAATGTACGTCGAGATGCAATTTCATCTTTAATTAGTATGAGCGATTGAAACGGAATTTCTGTCTTTGATAACTGTTGGAAGTTATTTTTTTTTAGAAACTGTTTGCTCATCCATGGTTCACGGCTCCGTTGGGTATATTTGTTAATCGACTATAAAACATAATTAATGTGATCCTTCGTATCTCTTCAGCTCAATGCGCAACGAGAATCTTAGAAACAAATACCATGGCCATGTTTATGGAGTAATACGAGAAATATTTACAAAAGCATTTATAGTTAATTGGATGCGAACAATTTCGGTATAATTGTTCTGGTTGATGCAGAACACTGCAGACAAAGTCTGCGAACATTTAACTGGAACAATAACAAGAGAATGTGTAACAGATAGTCGTCGACCTTGTCGAAACGAGCTTGCACCTTGAATGCTGCGACATAAAGTTTACGTTTATTTTTTATAACTTTTCAATCATCTCCGAGATAAATAATTATACTTCATTATAAAATTTATTATTAAGCTTTCATTGCCATAGTCGAGATTGAAATTCATCAATGTCTGCTTCTGTCTTTTAAATAAAAATAGCGAAGCAAAACGATAGCGCGAGGAAAAAGCTCATCAATAAAAATAACGAATATAAAGCAAATTGTTATTGTTCGCCTCGATTCAAACATGAATTTTTCCAAAGTCCCGCTTGACCAAATACTTTTTTCCCTAGCAACGTTTTCTTTGTTCACTGTATTTTTTCAGAAAATCATCTAAAATATTAACCATGTATTTATTTCATATATATGTCCAATTTAAATTTAGCCAAGACTTTTATATTTGTGTCATAGCATTCGAGGTACAATCAACCTCATTTTCTT